GCCTTGCTGGGTGCAGGAACCCTGGGACTCCGAGGAGATCGGGAGCAGGTGCGGTACGTGTGCACGCGGTTAGCACCTGGCCGGCCTGAGCGCGGTCCCTCTGCAGTTTCCCAGGCGCCACGTGCCTGCAGCCTGAGCTCCAGCGAAGGCGCTGAGAGGGACCCGGGGTGTAGCCGAGGGGCGTGGCCCCGGCGGGGAGGACCCAGTCTGAAAGTCTGCTGTCCTGCTCATTTTGGTTAATTTTCCTTCTATCCTCTGGTCTCCCTCCCTGCCTGCATATCCCCCTCCCTGGTTTCCCTCATCCTTCACCCGCTGGCCACATGTGGCTATTGAGCACTTGGAAAGTGGCTAAAACGAGAAACTATTTTGTTTTGATAAATTTAAAAACTGATAATTGAGTCAGTTCTTTGGAAAGCTTAAGTGTGTTTGGAGCAACTTGGGTATTTGAATCTTCTTGAACTGTAAATTTATGAAATCTAAATACAGATCAAATATTTACAAGGAAAATTTCGCATCTGAATCGAGATGTGCTATAAATGTAAAATTCATACCAGATTGCTAAGGTTTACTACAAATAAATTTAAATATCTCATATTAAAATACTGAATACATATTCAAATTATAGTATTTTAGATCTATTGGGTTCTATAAAATAAATTAAAATTAATGTCACTAGTTTCTTTTGCCTTTTCATTTTTTTAGTGTGGCTGCTAGAAAGTTTAAATTCCATGTGTCTTGCATTGTATTTTATCCCATTTCTCTCAGCCTGTGACCTCTAGAGTGTCGATTTAGCTGGATCTAGACGAGGTCATGGCCAAGCTGAAGGAGGACTGGAGTGCCCTGTGCCCACCTGGCGCTCTCAGCACCCTGCCTCCCTGACCGTCCACGCTGGGGACGTAGAGTTCAGGATATTAACTCAACATGAGAGAGTGAGGCAAGAGTCTCAATCAACCACAGTTTATTGAGCCAGAGCTTGTGGGCACGTCTGGGAAAAACACAAGTTACAGAAATGTCTGTGGTCTGTGCTCTCCGAAGAGGTTTTCAGGAGTCTCAGTACTTGCACATTTCTTTAAAGGGGAGAAGACACATAGGAAGAGAGGGACAGGCTGTGAGGCTAATGGTTACATTTTTGCGAGACTTTAATCAGTGCCCAGGGAATCTACACCATACACAAGATAAGGTGAACATTCAAAGAAAAGAGAGTAGAGGAAGAGTCAAGTATGCAGACTTCTCAGAGCCGGTAGAGGAAAGATTGATCTCATCCTGTCCTTGTTCTGCACCTTGGAAGATAAGCTTGTAATTGACATTGTCAGTTTGAAATCTAAGACTTCAGCTTTAGGAGGTAGACTTAAGTTGCAGAACTGACGTTACAATTGACATGTCCTTGTTTAACGGTAGGGCATTGTGACAAGATTGTGTTTCTAAATAAATAAATAAGTGAATGGATGGATGAATGAATGAATGAATGGGAAGAATTTACTTAGGAGCAGTTTGTGAGAACAGTCATCTGGAGATGCATGAGGCCTTTGCCTTTCTGTGGGGGTCTGGCTAATGTATAATGCTTTGACACAAGGTTGCGAAGTAATAGCTAACCAATTGGGAAAAGGATGACAGTGTTGGGTGATTCAGTCTCCAGGCTTAACTTTCCCTTTGGCATAAGGAGTTTGGGGTCCTGAGATTTTTGTTTTCTTTTACAAGGGAATGGGAAGAAAGGCTGTGGCGAGAGAAGGAGATGTTCACTGCCTGCTCCAGGAAGTGCTCCTGCAGGGGGATGGGAGCAAGTCCAGGGAATGGGCACGTCATGGGAACTCTGTGTTGCTCCCCACTTGTCCTCATGCCTGCATGTGGCCATGATACCTGGAAGGATGCCAAACGGGGAGAACTGAAGAATCCTCGTGTTCTATTGGAAGAGACCATCAGGGCCAGGAGGGTTTTGCAGTGTTTCTATTCCAAAGCTGGCCCAGCTGTTATGTCACCTACTGGAGCCAAATTACCCTTGAATGTTCACCTATCTTGGTCCTGGGGCAATTACAATGAAAATTGGATGCTTTTCTATATAGCTCAAACAAGGGTACTTATTTGTAACTGTTACAGGACCGCCTCCTTTAGCCAACCAGAATGTGAAATCTGGATTTAGACAAAAGATTATATGAAGGATGATAGCATGTTTTCCAAAAAGCATCCAGAATAAGGTAACAGGCAAGCAAGATGCTGTCCACCTACTAGGCACAATATTCTCAGGAGTAAAAAGAGACACAGGACCTGTTCCCTATATTGATATCCCTTTGGTTAGGAACATCTCCCTCTTTTCCATCCTTCTGTTCAAATCTGACTTATTCTTCAAGGCCCAGCTCACATCCCACCTCTTTCCTGAGCCTTTCCCTGATTCCTCTAGACGTCCCAGCTCCACTAAGCACACTGCCTGCGCCACAGGCTTCCAGCCTTGGCAAAGTGATCATGTCCCTCAGTGCATTTCCCTTTGGAGCCAGGTTCTAAGACCTGGATACAAATCACAGTATTATTATTGTTCTGATCAGTTACCTGTCACCATAACAGGGGGCTGCAAAGTGCTTTGCAAATAGTAATGCTTTAACCTCACCTCCAAAAAGATCAATTGGACATGAAAAACATTTTATTTATAATTTCTTGTATTTACAGTGTGTGTCTTCACTACAATCATTCTTGCAATAAATACAGAAGTGCTGAACAGACCATCCCCACAGTGGCCTTTGGTCCCTGTAGCACAGGGACTGAGGGATGCTAAAGACGCCAGCACTTCCCAAGGGCTGGTCAGGAGGCCTTCAAAGAGGTGAGTGAAGGGGAGAGGAATCTCGAGTCTGAGCCTGAAACGGGATGAAAAGAGTCAACACAGCACATCTCCTAAAGAAACACATCCAGGTTTTTACAATTTTGACCAGATGACACTAAAGAGACAGAACAAAGAGACTCATGAGAGGCCAACACAAGACTGGAGGAGCTGGGCCTTCCCCGTGGCCTCATGCCTTGGTTGTGTCCTCTCCGCCTGCCCTCTGGGGCAGAGTTAGGGTGCGTGCAAGGCGGCCCAGCCACACACGCCACAGAACTGGCTTCCCTCAGAGGCGCTGGTGTCAGCAGAATGAATGAGGATTCCAAGGTTGGATCCTCCAGAGTCCCACGGGGATTAGCATAGAGGTTGACAGTGGGTTTTGGCGCATCCTTTCTGCCTCCCTGGCTTGATCTTGTCTCAGCCGAGAGCCAGGGCTGTGCTGAGCGGGAGGAGGGAAGGGGAAATGCCACTGTTTTCACCTTCCAGTAAGTCTCCCTTTTTATGAACAGCCCTTGTGCCAGGTACAATGATCGCTCTGTTCTCTCACAAAACTCATCCATAAAAGGTATGCGGAGTTTTTTGGAAGACAATCCTACTGCTTTGGAGTGGTTTATGTTGGTCTCTCATTGACAATTTTGGACCAAGGCCAAGAAACCACATAATTCATGAGGGTTGCCTTTGTTGTCATTGGATGATACATCAGGCATGCCAATGGCAAGGCAGACTGCCACCCCAGGCTGCAAGGCCACCAGAGGTCTCGTGCATGTGCACGCGCGCACACACACACACACACACACACACACACATACACACACCCTCCCCGAGCCCCCATTAGGTCACTTGTAACCTTGCCTAGCAAAACTGGCTACCAAGACATAGGGCTTGCCACCATCATGAAAATTTGTGATAGTGGAGAAGAGAAAATCCTTAGAGTGGGAAGGAGGAGTAGAAGGAAAAAATATAAAGAAACATAGGCTTCAGGAGGACATTCCATGCTGCCACAATGAGATCGTGAACCAGAAAGTTCTCTGTGAACTGCAAGGTGCTAGCAATTAGAGGTTGGTGGTGGAGGCTCCTCACTCACAGAACTAACTGATCTCTGTGGGGCTTTCACATCTACAGGAGAAAAATGAAGACGTGAAGCCTTCTCAGAAACTATCTGTGTGACCTGCCTGGGAGAACATGGAGTGTGTTAGTGACGTCGTGTTATTATTTGTTCCTGAATGCCATGATGATGCCAGCCCCTGTTCAGATGACCTCCTGCTTTATAGCTTGAAAATATATTTTACCTAATCCATGATTTGAGATGCTTATAGAGAGAGGAGTAGATACATCTCGATTCCAGGTCGACCATAGGGATATTGTAGAAGTGGCAGAAATGAAATTTGGCCAAAATCATTTTGCAACCATTTTGCTTCTGCCTGTTTCTTCCAGACTCAAAAGCAGATTGGGTCATCTCAGAACTCACATCTACTCTAGGAGAGGGGCAGAGAGAGAACCACACATTTCATAGGAACAACCTAATTATTTATAAAATCTGTAGAGCTCCACAGACACGAGGTTGGGTTTGGAGTTAATATTTTGTCATTCTGTCCTTCTCACATTATGACTAGATAAATACCACGTGATTCCAATTCTCCCATCCAAGTACTAACCAGGCCCGACCCTGCTTAGCTTCCAAGATCAGACGAGATTAGGTGTGTTCAAGGTGGTATGGCCATAGACCATGATTCCAATTCTGATTCCAAAGTGAGACTTAACCCGACCACATATGACTTCTCAGTCTTTCTCTCTCCCTCCCACTCCCCCCTTCTCATCCCCACCAAGAAAAGGAACTTGAAACTGCCTTTCTCTAAGGCCTGTTCAGTGTCCCTGACCCAGAGGACAGGACTGTGGAAGTGCCCCTAATATATTACAAAGTATATCTCTTGTTTTCTTTCTCTCCTACAACCTGATCCCTCCTGTCTCAATTCTTTCCCCTGAGTTGTGAGGTCTGACTAAAGGTTTTGTCAGAGCAGAAGGAAATCAGGGGGAGACAACCCCTCCCCTGGGGAAAGAAATTGAGTTTCAAAAGCAAAACCTAAGTGGAGAGTGCATGTTCTGTTCTGAAAGGTTGGAGAATAAGCTGAATTTCCAGGATACTTGAAGACACACTTGAGTGAAGTCCTGGATGAAAGTATTTTCCAACCAACAACAGCAGGTGGCTTGGTTTGTGATCCCAGAATCCAGACCACTGAACAATCTCACACAGACATAGCACTTGGTCTGAGAGCTCATCTCATCCGTGGGTTGCACTGGGGGTGGCCATGGTCCCGGGGCAAGGGGGCACCCAGCTGCAGGATCCCTGAGGGTCTGGAGTGTTTGCACGTTGAGCTCCAGAGAACACCTTGAGATGTTTCAAGTGTCCAGAGAGCCAAAGTATGTAGTGTCCAAAGCAAGGTCCTTCCCTGGACATGCCTGGGAGTTCCAGGGACCTCAGGCGTGGTCCTCAGTCTCCTTCTTAACGGCTGGTTTGTAAATGACTCCCTTGTTGTTGTCACCTTTTTTGCTACTAGAACAACAAGAACACACAAATCTTGTTAGTCAAAGAGGGGAGAGAGAGAGAGGGAGCCCAGAGAGCCGTCTGGCTCAGCTGTGGAATGAGGCAAGTTTTAGAAGTCAGGTTCCTCTCTTTGGGACCTTTTGCCAATTCTGTCGGTCTTGGGAGGGAATGCCCCCAAATAAAGCAGTATCCAAAATGGCACCTGTTCATTTTCCACCTGTTCTTTCTAACACCTGACGATGCTAGACCTGCATTTTGAAGGAGGCCTCATTATCCCACGCCTCCCCCACTTCAAACCTTTGATTCCATAACAGGGTTCCTGGCAACCTTTTTATTTTTCATACCAGGAAAAATAAATTAGGTTTTAGGGAAAGACAAACGTGACAATAAAAACATGCGTAAAGGGCATTAATAGCTAATGTGAGTGAAAGATCAGGTTTTCCTTCATCTTTCTTTTTGGATTCATAGAAGAAAATCCAGATGTAGAGATCATAGTAAGAAGATAGCCTTCCTGCTTGTGTTTAGGCACCAGCCCCAAATCGAGAGACTCATCTAAGGTCATATAGTAGCCGTGGCTGGCCCACACCCCTCCAAATCTGAGCTCAGTGACCCTGGAACAACCAGCATCTCGTGCAAAGGAGGCTGGGGCGGGGCTGTTTTGAGAGCTGCACTCCTAGGGTCAGTGTTGGTGTGGGTAACAAGGCCTCTTCATTCTGCGACGCTGCCTTCCCAGACAGACTAATCGTCATGGACACAGAAGCCGCCCATTCCCACTTGGAACCCAAACCAACTCACCTCTTCTTCCTTCTGAAAAGCCAAATGGACACTGCCAGGATAACACAGATACCAAGAACACCAGCCAGGGCCACCGAGAGGATGATGCCTGGTGAAGAGGCAGTGGGCACATGTTACACTCCTCACTTGCCCTCATCGCATCCCACACATGGGGGTGAAATCACATCCCAGCTACATAATCATCCACAGAGAGGTATAATTTCCCCATCTCTGTTCTTAGATTCTGGTCTTTGGCTTAGTGGAACTGGCTGGAGCAGTTAGAGGGGGCCATTTGCAAATTGTAGTGGTTTTCCAGCAGGGTCTCTCAAACTTGCACAAGGATCATCTGAAGAGCTGGTTCAAAATGTAGATTTTTTTTTTTGAGCTCAACTCTCAGAAACTCAGATTCAATCTCTTTAGTGTGGGGCCCAGGAATCTGCATTTCACCACATACGTCCAGCTGATGCTGATGCATGTGGTCCATGAACCACGCTTTGATAAACCCTGAGCTACAGAATGAAAACTTATTCCATCTTTGCCTGCTGGATTTAAGGCCCATTGGGATGTCTCCATCAGTTCCATCACACAGTCATAAGCAGTCCCAAACAACCAGTAGCCCATTGCCAAGGTCACATGGCCAGTCACTTGACCTCCACACTGGGCTCTGGCATGTTTTCAGGCAATGGCCTCCCACCATAATCAACAGAAGATCTTAGATAGGCTCTTGGAATATACACATGCTGAGAGTGATTAGGTCTTTCCTTAGAGGAACGTTTGATTGGCAGTTCATCTTTGAATCAGAGAGCGACTTGAGGGTAAGACCCACAGCAAGGAGGGGACCAGGAGCCAGAGCGACAGCACACAGAAGCAGAGAGGATGGGCTGGCAAGATCACAGGTCCAGATCACACCCAGAATCACAGTGATGCCCCAGCTGCAGCATGCACAGCCGGCCAGCTGGCCACATACCCAGACTCAGTCCTGTGTCAGGAAGTATTTGCACTTAAAAGGGAGGAGGAAAAGATTGGAAATTAATCTAGAGTCAAACCATGCTGGATTTGACTAGCGTATTGAGAGACGCTCTACCTTTTGTTGGGTGGGTGGTACGGGGCTTACGCAGACCTTCCAGGGGTGTTCAGAAGGTCTGGTTCAAGGGACTGCTACTGGAGTAGAGGGACTTGCCACCTAGGGAATTCATACTGTGGTCCCCCGTTCCAATGCTCTTTCATCATGGCAATCTCTTTGCCAGGGCAAGACTTCAGGGTTTAATACAACATGGCCATCGAGGGAAGGTGAGGAAGGGTAAGCATCAGGGACTACTTGGGCAGGCCATTGTGCACTTCGCTGGGACCTACTCCTCTTCCTCAGCCAGGAGCCTGCCACCAGACTTGTCCCCACCCCATCCAGTCTATCGTCGTGGTTTGGTTCTATTTTGGGTTTGGTCCTACTACACAAACTCCTCCACCATCCCAGCCTCCCTTCTCGGGAACAAGGGGATTACGGCTTCTCCCAGCAAGTTACTGTTGGGCCGACTAGTGCCCAGCTATCTAGGGTGAAATCCCGCAGTCGGCCTACGAGGCATCTCCCCGGGGAAGACTCAAGTGTGAATCCATCTTCTTGAATGAACAGAGGAGCCCAGTCATGAAGTCTCTCCTGGGTCCCCCCCAGCCTGCTCCTTCCAGGTTCTTTCAACTATTCCCCAATCTGTCAGTCAGGTCCTCTGTCTAAAGAAAGTTTCTGTTTACACATATCGTTGTGTCTAGTGGTTTTCTGATCTCAGTTGAAGCTTCTAGCATGTGCGTGTGTGTGTGGGTGTGCGCGCGTGTGTGTGTTGGGGGTAACTATTCTAACTCACACTGGAAGCCAGAGCTGTACAGACAGTGGCCACCCAGCTTGACACACAGAAGAGCCTCTGCCCACAGAGCCTGCTGTGGTGACTGAGACCCTGGGAGGGCCCTGGCTAAGTGTGAGACACCAGCAGGGGGCCAGGGACTCACCTTGGGGCACTTGACACCCTGGAAACCAGACCTGAGGCTGCAGGGTGAGGTTTTGCTCGCCCCCCTTCTCCTGCTCTGCGGTCCGAGTCTGGCTGATTCCCCAGGAGCCATCAGCTGGGTCCTTTCCCTGCCATCCTCTTCTGCACTCTCACACTGAGCCTGCAAAGCGTCCCTGGTCCAAGGCTGGCCCCTGGGGATTCCTGGTCTGGCTTCCCCAGATGGCCCCGGGCTGCTGTGTTGGTGAGCAGAGCAGGCATGGAGAAGAGCTGTCCCCAAGGACAGGGTGGCCTGTTCTCCCTGCTCTGCCGGCCACCACCAGTACCTCATGGCCTCCCAAGTGGCAGAGAGGATGGCTCCTCTGGCCAGATTCCCTGCCCCAGGCCTCTTCTCGTAACCTGAACACAAGGACCTGTCTGTAGTTGGGGAGGCGCTGGGGACAGGAGCCTCCACCTGGGGAGAGCTTCAGGTGTCTGTGCAGCCATGCTGTGTTCCCTGAGCAGCCTGTGGCCTCCACACCATGTAACTTGGTATTAGGGTTTATTGATTGTTTTTCAAAGGTACCCAGAGACTTGGTCCTTGGGATCTTAAAAAAACAAACAAATTAAAACCTAGTCATGGCTTCTCTTCCAAGCCTTTTGATGAAATACACTTTCGTTCTTTGTTCCTAAAGCTGCAGATGGCTATGGTGCCAAGCCAGGTCTTGCCACATGAAGACTATTCCTAGTGAGCCTGGCCGCTCGGCGAAACCGTGCAAACTGGACGGTTTCTAAAGTCGTCTCTCTCCTCACACATCCTGAGAGCCACACAGGCCCCCAGACGGCTGAGCAGCCCCAGTCGAGGGCTGGGGGAGGGGCCCTTCATGCCATGGCCACAGGGGGCTGAGCAGAGTCTGTGGAGAGCAAGCCCCCCAGGATAGGACCTTTCTCAAGAGCACGGGGCCCACTCGGTGGCTTCTCTGGAGGGAGAGTCTGGATTCGCCCATGTACCGTGCAGTGCGCCTGAGCTACAGGCCCTGCAAACACAGCATCATTTAATCCATTTCTGTCCCCTCTTCGCTCCTAGATAACCACTTTTCAGGGCCTAAATTGCCTCTCCTTGGAAACCATGAAATGAGACCAAACAGCCACGAAGACAAGGAAAGCCCCAGAGGCAGGGACAGATGGTTTTCAGCCAAGACTTTGATGCAGCAAAAATGAAGCAGCTTGACTGAGCAAGCTGAGATCACAAGCCACTAAGGAAGAGGCGTGGCAGCAAGGGGGCTGCTTAGTTCTACCACCTCACGACGCCCAGGGCGGGAACATGTTGGCATGCCGTCCCTGCCAGTCGAGACAGCACCAGCCACCACGGAAGCAGGGCTTCTCTGCAGAGATGAGCTGAGGTCCCGTTGGAGGCAGATGCCTACGCAACTGCTAACTAAAGGGAAAGGGAAAACCAGCGAGACTTCCAGGGCACAGGGAGAAGGAACTGTCAGGGCGTGTGGGCAACGAGAGCTCGAGAGAGAAGCCAAAGCCTGTTTCCCAGCAGAGCCTCAGCTGGGTCAGAGAACAGGCATCAAAGATGGTGCAGAGCCAGAGAGATTTATTTTCAGATTAAACAAAGAAATGGCTTGTTTCTGAACGGAGAACAAGACAGGCGGTTCCCACGGAAGAACAACAGGACAGACAGGAGAAACGGAGACAGGCGGTGGACAGCAGTGGTCCACGAGAGCCACTGAATGAGAACTCAATGGAGGGGGCTCCCGAGCTGGCTCGCAAGAGGGGACACGCCGCGCAGACACAGGGGAGCTGCCTGCTCCCCACACCACACACAGGTACGAGTCAGGGTGAACAGAGACAAGGCGGTGAGACACACAGAAGGAAATTGCACAGACACGGAAGAACTTGACTGTTGAACGCCTCACCCAGGAAGGTACAGACACCTGGAGAAGGTGGGCAAGCTGCCTGCCACGAGGGCCTCGCTACCTGTTCTGGCTGGCCCAGGAGCTGTGTCTTCCGCTGGCATCTTGCTGGACCGAGGGAGGCTGGTCTTTTGAGGTCTTCTGAAGCCTCAAGTGTAAACACAGAAAAGTCCAGCAGGAAGAACAAGCACCTCATTTACATATCTTGGGGTTCCTAGAACAACAGTCTAGTATTTTCTAGCTCTATTTGCAATTCTGATTGTGGTACACAATCCTTTTCCTTTCAAAGTGTTATTTTAAAGTACGGACTGTTTTAGTAGATGGCGTGTTACATAGTGATAACATATATACGCATGTAGGTCTAGAGCAGTCTCTAGTCTTGTAAAAGATGCCAGGAGAGTTTAGGCTTATCAGTGGTTTGATAGTTTAAACACATAAAATCGTCTGGGCTTGGTGGCTTAAGCCTGTAATCCCAGCACTTTGGGAGGCTGAGGCAGAAGGATTGCTTGAAGCCAGGAGTTCAAGACCAGCTTGGGCAATATAGGAAGACCCCATCTCTACAAAAAATTAAAAAATTAGCTGTGCATGGTGCCACACGCCTATAGTCCTAGCTACTTGGGAGGCCGAGGTGGAAGGATCACTTGAGCCAAGGAGTGGAAGGTTGCAGTGAGCTACAATCTTGCCACTGTGCTCCACCCGGGGCAACAGAGCAAGACTCTGTCTCAAAATAACTAACTAAATAACTAAATAAATAAATAAATGAAATCCAGTTTAGCATGGTAAAAACTGCCATTATTATACTTAAAAAAAAAGTCATGGAGTTAAGTAACTGCAATGCTAGTATTCTCTTTGGATGAGACTTTGGTAAGAAAAGCAAGGAAGATGCCCTCAGTAGCCACAGAGTATAACTATCTTTAGAGGACATATTTAACTGGGGAGTTTTCCTTATTAACTCTATGCAACCTAATAAAGAAGTAATTTCTACAAAGAAATATGCCAAAAAGATGCCACCAGATTAGATGGAACTGGTTTTATACAACCATGATGGGGACTGAGGGCTTTGTCACCAGATTGCAGGAATATAGGCCCAGAGCCAAAAGCCACATGACTCTGAGGGCCCCAAACCCTGGAGCAGCAGGGGTGGGCTACAATGCCAGCACTGGGCGCTTAGTCCTCCAAGCTGCCTTCGGCGGCCCAGGCTGTCTGTGCTGAAGCAATGGGTGGTGGGACGGGGGCCTTTTATCCGCATCAAGCCAGAGCAACAGAAAGCACAACAGCATCTCCGGGTGCCTTTGAAACTTGGCAGCTAAGTTCTGATCTTTAATTCTTCTTAAACAAATCGGTTGATTTTTAACACTGTCAGCAAATTGAGAACAGAGAAAAATGAGACTCAATAAGGCTAAAATTTGACAACTATCCAGGCTTACGTGCAAATCCTTCTGCAGAGAAGATGCTGGTGAGGGGAGATGGGAGACCAGTCAGGGACATTCTTGCAACAGGCTCATGATGAGCACAGGAATGAGTAGGATGTCAATCGCCCCTGTCCTTAAGGACCTGGTAGTGTGTGTGTTATATGTATGTATTTTCTTTTTCTTTCTTTGTTGTTGCTGGAGGGAGTAATTGCTCTGTGGGGTGCTGAGGGCCATAACAGAGGTGTAGGGTGGCTCTGCAGACAGTAAGTCGCCTCCGGGGGGATGGGGAAGACTTTTAAGAGGATATGGTTACAGTTGGGTCTTAAAAGAATTTTCCAGGTGGAGGAGAGAGCGGGGCATCCCAGACATAGGGACTAGTGTGTACACTTGAAAGGACCTGCTGCATTAGGGAGGCCCTACAGTCTGGGGGGCCTGTGGCTGAGAGGGTGGGATTGGGGCTGTGGGAAAACGATGTGGGTCCTTCACCCAGGGTGGGTCCAGCCCTCTGCCCGGCCCCATTTCCTGCTGTCTTTCCTGATCACGGCCTGCTCTGTGCCAGGGGCTATGGTTAGGAGCAGGATGACACCCGTGGAGGGGTTTTCTGTCCCCCAGAGCAGATAATTCAGGCTGTGCTCAGGAAACGTGTGGCATGTTGAAGGGACTAGGACTTCACTTCTAAGCACCGTTGACATCGCCCCTGACTGTTTGGTCCCCTGATCCGGGTCTAGGATCAGAGTAACTCCTCTGGTTACTCACTTGGATACTTCAGAAGAATTGTTGATACTCTTCCATCTAATAGTTTTTATTTATAAATAGAAACTTTAAGAAACACAAGGTCAATAACTATAACACACATATTCTAGTTCCCAAAGATTAGATAATTAGCCATCTTAGCTGTGTAAGATTTCCGTCTCTCTCTCGCTCCCTCCTTCTCCCCTTCTAAGGTTTTATACAACTGCCCAGGCCGCTAGGGTCAAGCAGGTTCTAATCGTGCTGTCCACAGACCTGACCTCCCCCTGGCCACCACTACTCTCATCTGAGCGCGCCTCAGCTGGCTCTGGCTTCTGCGGCAGGCGACATGCAGTTGCTCAGAGCAAGCCCACTAAAGACATGATTATAGAAACTTCTTGGCTTCCTTTTGTCCCTCAAGTTTCCCTTGCCCTGACATGATGAAAATCGGACTAGATAATGTTAGTATTTGGGTTTGATGGGCTCTTGCTTTATCACCCATCACCAACACTGGACACCGTGTTGGTGTCACTGGCTAGGGGCAGGTCGACGCCAAGGAACCAAGGACTGGGCCAGAGCCCTAGGCCTTGGTCCCTGCGATGTACACCTGCCTCTGCCGTGCTTCCCCGCCCCCGCTCAGAGCACCTGGCTTCCTGCGAAGCCTCCACTGGCCCAGGATCCCACCTTGAGGACAATGAGTCTTGTTTCCTCCTTCAGCTCAAATCGTCCTTCTGTGCCACTGGGAAGAGGCACTTTTTAAGAGCTGAACAAAGCGCCTGGCATGACTTTCACCTTCCCGTGAAGAGTGGACATTTTAACCCAGGGCAACAAGAAGCAGAACATACAAGAGAGGAAAAACTCGTAGGAAAGGGAGGGAGAAGAAGCATGATGAGGGATCCTGAGGAAAGTTGCAACTTCAGAGCCGTCAGGACCCCGGCTAAAGGGATTTGTGTACTTCTCCTAAGGGCACATAGTTTTCTGTCATGTCACATCTCGTAGCCTCACCAATGACGTAAAAAAGAAGATACACTCAGATTCTGAGGGAAGACAGGGAACAAGGTTTCTCTTGGATTTGCTCGTGTCTACCTCAGTAACTTCAACTTTATTGTTTCGGGGTAGCCATCACCAGATCGAAAGTCTCATGCCATAAAAGAATAAAGAAGACCGGGGAACCTCTGTAATACAAAAACTCTAGAATCCTATGATATGAGTGAAAAAAAAAATCAGTCTGAGCCTAGGAATGTCACTGTGCAACCCCTGGGGCAACTTTGCCTCTCCTCCCCTGGAGACATTTTTGGCTGTCACCACTGGGGAGACGCAGCTGGCAGCTACTGGGTAGAGACCAAGGACGCTGCCAATGCCACGGTGCATGGGACAGCCCCCCACAGTCAGAATTACCCTGCTCAAGATGTCAATAGTGCCGAGGTTGAGAAACTCTGCCCCAGGGCTAGGTTACAGCCCCGATTATCAGCCCCTCAAGGATAGAAACCAGGTCCTGCGCTCCTTTTCTAAGCAGAGTCTAGGAAAATAGCAGGGTCAGGTGAAACCATTCAGTCCCAATTGTCCCAGTTTGGTTCAAGCTCAGGTCCTCCCCCAAAGTCTACGCACGTTCTCTCCTAGAGGATTTCTTTAACATCACTTTTCTACTGGCAGAATTTTCTGACTCCAGAGTTCTTATTAACTTTCAGAGAAAACCCGGAATAAGCCAAACCATAATTACAAACATGCCCCAGTGGAAGAGTCGACAAATAAGGGAGCCCAGATTGCTCACAGCTCACGCTGACAAACAGCCTCACACCATAAACCCGAAACAGCATCTGACAGTGTGGGGCCTGCGCCCAGCTGGCGTGGGAGGCCCTTGTGAATGCAGGCCCTGGGCAGAGGAGGTTCGGGGCTTCACCCCTTTGGGGCTCCCTCCTCATTGCTCGTGGGGAAGCAGACTTGTTTGCTGCCTGTGTCTTTGGGAAGTAAGAAGGAGGGGAGAATTCTGGCCAAGTTTCTATAATCAGCCTCCAAATGAACAGGTTTGCCTTGAACTGCCACAGAGCCGCACTCCCAGGAGCAAGCTGGGCCTGGCCTGGGTGAGGCAGCAGCCCTGGGTATGCCATGCAGGAGGGACAGCTGGCAAAGCTGCATTTGGGCTTTGATTTTGGTTTCCTAGTTGGGAGTTGGTCTACAGGCTTCTGCCTAGAGGCCCCTCCAGCTCCCCCAGCCAGCCTGGGGGAACCTATGGAAGCTCTCTGCTGCACCCGCCCGCGCTGCCCGCTCTGCAAGCAGCTACTTAGACCTGGGCCGGTCTAAGAAGATGGCTAATTATTCCCAATGCCACAGTCAGTCATTACAAGTGGGGGTTACTTTTGATGTCAGACTCAAGATCCTGCACGGTTTCTTCTGATCCTCTGTAACTGCCCTCACACACTGTCCCTGCAACGTAAAGTCAGGGTTGGCAGTTGTTAGTGTCCTTGTAGAATCATATGAGCACTGAGAGGAGGTTAGGTCACCTAGTCCAACCTGGCATTTTACGGCTGAGGAAACCCAGGCCGAAGAAGGGGCATGATTTGTCCACATCATAGAGCCAGGAGAAAACAAAGCAAGGCCTTGAACTTGGAGGTCTCCTGACTATGGGGACAGTATTTTTTCCCCTGTTCCCAGGGATGTGCATAGACTAGCTCAGAGAACAGAACTGACAACGAAGTCTTTGAAGCACAAGCAAAATTCTACCTGATACACATGGACAAATTCCCTTATCTCCTGGCAGAGTTTTTATGGTTTTTATTTTATTTAAGAGTTGAAGTAGTTCCATTTAACCCTTGAATACTACGTTCTCCATTTAGAAGAATGAGAAGAGAGAACATTATATCCAGAATAGATACAAAGGGATAACTCTGTGTATCCGGTCATTTCCTAGAAAAGAAGTTGATAGTCACTATCACATAGAGTCTCAATTTTTAGGAAGGCTAATAATGGTCACCGTTCCAGTTTTCAGATGGAGAAACTGAGGAAAAGAGGGAAATTACCTTAACTAGTGGTATCTGGAGAGGAGAACACCAAAGACAAATTCTTGGGCAGTTCTTAATTAAGTGACAGAGAAGGACATAATTCTGAGTGTATGTACGGGTCAATTCAGAAAGGCACATTTCTAAAATTTTCTGGAAAGGGCCTTGAAACATAATCTTCACATGCTCAACTAAGCTGAGTAAGTGATAGTTACAATCTTGTAAGAAAGGAATAAGAAAAGTACACCAGGTGAGACAAAGAGAGTGGATTCTCTGATGAGTAGGTTAGCAGGTTATCTTTCTATGTGAACACCTGGCCAGTTTGGTACACAAGTGATATTAGGGCATGAACTGGAACTTCCACAGATCTGCTGTGCTTCTGAACACCTGAGATTCCCACATTGAGAACCGATCAAGAACCTACCGTGAGAAAACGAAGTTAGAGGTTGGACGAAGGGCGTGGGCCCCAAGAATGCTCCCTCACCATTTCCCTGACTCCTGGCATCCAGCAGTGCTGATTCAGGCACCGGTGCAAACAAGGAAAACCGCCAGTGTCCTGGGGCTTATGGTTATAGGTTTCAAAGGAAGAACCAAGAACTCATAGCATTAGGAATAAACCAAACTATGAAGCTTTGCTCAATTTGGAACGAACGTGCCTGTGCTTATGCAAGCTCCAAGGAGATTCAACAAAAAGGCAGGGAACAAGGGGGCTTTCTTCCCTCATGGGCCCTGCTACATTAGGCCATGAGCCACCGTGGCCACAGACATGGCTTATGCCTGCTGTTCTACAACTAACAAAGGAACGTCCCTGGCCAGGCCTAAGGTGGGGTGGCTACAGCCTTTGATGCCAAGAAAGCCTTGGGTGAGAAGTTAGAAATCTGTTCTCATGAACAGGTCCCTATTGTGTGTCTCAGGAGAGGGGATCATTGTCCAGAGCACAGAAGTCCCCAAGAACATCCTCTTTTCCCCACCTGTGGGGGACTCGAGGCACAAGGAGGGCTCTGGTCCCTGTGCTTGGAAGCCCCGGCTTGCGCTTCTCCACAGAGGATCGGGGAAGTGGAGAGCAGTGAGGGGAGCCCTGAGTAACCCCCACACCTTGCTCCATGAGGCTCCCTGGGTCCCGTGGCAGCCAGGTTCTTAACCCACTTCCTGAGGGCAGCAGTGCCAAAGCTGGACTTCACCCAGAAGGGCCCAGCGTCCTGGCACCACACTCCCCACAAACACTGCATCTCCTTACCTTGTTGGAAGGAGATGTACACCAACCTCTCGTCGAACTTCTGCACCTGCCGGAAGTTCTTGACCATTTCTCTGGGGGCAGGGTCATCCATGTGTGTGCAGTACAGAGCTGTCTCCAGAGCCAGCAGCTGAGGGAAGAGCAGAAACACCCCCCGAGGGCAGAATGATGCTGCTTGCCTGGACTCCCTTAGGGAAGAGAGGCCAGCTCTCACCTCTTGCACCTGGGAGAAGCCTCTGGAACCAGCGCCTGTGACACTGGGTGGGAGACATTAGAAAGCAGCGGGAAAGCCAGAGAACTGCTCCCTTCCTCAGGCGTGGGTGACTGGGTGCCGGGCGGCACTAGGTCTGTCTTCCCAGGTCCCAAGGACAGTGCTGCCAGATCCTGATTATGCCTGGAATCTGCCCTGCACGGAGGGAAGCCTGGGCTGGTGGAGGGCTACTTAGCCTCTCATGGCAACTGCCTTCCTCTCATGAACCTGAATTGGAACCCAGCTCTAAACCAGAGGGGCTGGGGACTTGTTCTGACGGTCATATCAGAAGGAATAACAGCGGGGAGGTAGGAGTTTCACAGGTCATCTGACTATGGGCTCCATGACATTTTCATGCAACCACACAGATTGTATAACCAGTTTCCAAGGCAGTTTCTGGATTAGGATGTCGCTGCCTCCCCACAGGCTGTGTCTCTTGTTCACCGCGTCCTCATTCTTGTCCGCCTACCTGCTGCCATTTATCTACGAGACTCAGACCGGAAACTCATAGTAAGGAGAAGGAGCAACAGTGAGGGTTGCGCGGGACTCATGACGCTGGGTGGGGCGTGTGAGCCAGTGCGTAGTGCTGGCCCCGGCCCCATCTTGTGGGGAGTCATTTTTCTTCTCACGTATTTAGGCTGTGGAGTAGAGGGACGAGTGGTGACTTGGAACTCAGATGACCGGACTTTGGGTGTCAGTTTCGTCATTCACCAGAGGGTGATCCCACAAGCTTCTACCCCTTACTTCCCTCCCCTATGAAATGAGAAGCTTAGAGATGGTTGCTAAGGATTTCGTTCCCCACTTTGCACTAGACCATGAGCTTCTTGAGGGCCGGGACCCTCACACACTCATCGCGGCAATCCTAGCGCCCCCATTTGTTAAGTGATTTAACCTGATGCTACCCTTCTTCTGCCCCCCAAAGGAACCAGGCTTTCTCTTGCCTGGGGAGGGAATCCCATCTAGCCACTGAGGATATATTAGCAAATGCAGCTTTACAGCTCTTCTTTAAAGACCTGGGAGACACGTATTCATTTTCCTAGCTTGACTCGGTAGCTCCTCTTTTAAAGCCCAGCTTGGAATTTCTGCAGTGCTTTCAGGAATATTTGGAGAGGTTTCGAATAGCTGCCAACGAAACTCTAGGCGAGGAAATCAAGTCATTGAGTATGACATGGGTTATGGTGGGAACTGAGGTGCCACCTGGACTCTGGCTGAGTTGGGCACGACAGTTACCTGCTCCTGGGAAATGTGCACAGGGTTGCGGAAAACCGTCCAGATCACGGTGGGGTTGCAAGGAGGTGTGGTCAGGGACCCCCTGTAGCGGTAGTACTCGGCGGGCCTCTCGGGAAGCAGTTCTTCAATGTTGAAGCCTGGGATGAGCACTTCTTGGCCTGGAGAGACATGTTGGGGGGCGGGTGATGGTATCGGCCTCACTACCTAGGGCAGAAGTGCCCTCGAACATAGTGACTGAGCCTGGAAACTTGAACTAACCCCTCTCAGGGCCAGTCTACCCAACCTGCTGCCCCTAACCTGGTGAACACAAACCGCGCCCACCCCTTGCATTTGTTTTTCTTAAAGTTACACAGGGCTGACTTCATCCTTCTCCAGCAGACGGTGAATAAGCATCCAAGGACTCCTCACCTTTGTACTTTACGTGTTGAAGGTGACTGAAGATCTTGTCATAGGATGGATTGAAGGAGCCCATCTGCAACAGAGACGGGGCAGGTTAAACTGGGACAGAAGCGTGTAGGCTGAGCTGGGATTGACACCTGCTATCAGAGGGCAAGCCTGGGGGTGTGCAGGCGCCACTGCAGAGGTCCTGCCCGAAGGAGTCGCCTTACTAGGACAATTGTGGCGGATCGCTAGGCTGTTGGGAGCTAGTGTAATGGTTCTGGCCTTGCATGTCAGGATGTCCCGTTTTCAGCTTAAGGCATCGGGCTTGAACGTCCCGGTACAGGGTACGGTGTGTGCTCCTGATGATCTAGATGACAGCCTGAAGGCCACAACCAGCGGTTTGTCTCAGCCAGAACTTAAGGGAGCTCTGAGTTCACCGAAGCCAAGTCAGACAAGTTAGCATGTTGGGAAATGAGGTGCCTGCTGCCTCTTTAGGAAAATGAAATGAAACCAATCAAAAGACATTCCCTTTTCCTGGGATTAAAGAAAGAATTCATTCCAGGGTCAATATATGGACTGGAGCTTGGATACCAGGAGTTGTATCAGGCATTCAGGCATCTGAGGGGGGCAGCATGACCCCCTACTCCCCCAGGTCTTCTCCAGCTGGGCCATTCCCTGGCTTATGCAACGAGGCTGGGGACTGGGGCTTGTTTTTCCAATGTCACAAAGGACATGAGCCATTTCTGCTGCCCAGCCATAGAAAGTGCTGCCTCTAGGCCAAGAGAGAAGGAGCACTATGGGGAGAGGCCCCTGCTCTGGAGACCAGACTTTGCCCAGACGGGAGCAGCTTGTTACCAACAGATGTACGTGGAACAAATGTCAAATCCTGATCTCATCCCTGCTTCAAACTCCATGTAACAACCTTTGGAACATCTCTCACCTCAATGAGCACCGCGAGCACAGCGAGGCCTTCTGACTTGTTGCTGGCGGCGCTGGCGTTAGGATACAGGTCTGAGTTGTAATGGACGATGTGCAGCTGCAGCGGGAGAGGAGATGCCCATCAGAGGATGAGCGCCTCGCAGGAAGGAGACTTGAATCCAACTGGGAGGACAGACGCCTGTCCCCTCCACGCCCGTGAGCTAGACCAGGTCTCTCAGATCCTCCCCTCCTGGCATCTCCAGTTCTCCCTTCTCCCTTAGTCCTCTCTAAACTGCAAACTCAACCAGGGCACACGTGTCTATACGATTCACTCACTGCATCCCAGTGTCTCGTGGGGTGCCTGGAAGGTACCAGGCGCACGAGAGATATGAGCGAATGAATGAATGAACGAATGAAATTTTACACTAGCCATGAAAAAGCTTGGGTGCCCTGGAGCACTTCTCCATGCTGATTTTTCCTACTTATTCTGGAGCCTGGGGCGAAGTGGTTTCATGTGGCTTCCCCAGCCTCAGCTCGTCCCTCTGCACTTGATCTGGAAGCAGTGGGGGTGGGGCATGAAACCTCCGGCTGTAACTTGATCATAACTGTGATCGGCACACACAAGCATTTATCCCTCAGTTGCAGAAAAATCACAGCAGGGCTTTCATAAAGGTTTTATCAGCCATATTTTAAGAGGCCACAAAACAAGAATGTTAATCCATGAATATAGACTTTCATCTTTGCAAAATAAAATTCTAAACTCATTTTCTTCAAAGAAGAAATTACTTGTCATTATTAAGGTAAAGAAAAGAAGTTTTTGAGAAATATTCGGTTTAAAAAGCCTATCTATGCATTAAGACCATTGTTATGACAAATTCTGACAATATTTAACCTAATTTTTAATCCTAAAGGTGGTGTCACCTGGCCTTCAAAAAACCTTATTCATAGATCTACCTATGCAACACATGCATTTTTGTTGATTTTTTGCTCTTGAGACCATGACATATTGAAATTTTATATCATTTCTTTTCTTTCTTTTCATTCATTTTTCCCCCATCTCATGTGTTTATAAATAGAATTCAAGCATATTTCATTGAATATAGCTTAATGTCCCCATTTTGAACTTTTCTAATTTTTAAAAATTATATCAAATTATTCCTTCTTTTAGGTGCTCCTCTATCAAGGATTGCTCAGGGCCTCCGCTTCACTGTCTTCCCCCTGAAGGACACGGCTTGCCACGTTGCCTACACCCTCTTGGCCTGGCATTGCTCTGAGAAACAGAGCTGAACTCCGTGTGGCTAAAACCCCCAAGGTCCTAGGTCCTGATTTCTTTTTACTACTAACCTTTGGGCTTGTGGTCTGTGTGAGCACTTTCTTATTGTGTTCAGATTAAATCAAGAGGAAGTGAAGCCTAAACCAGAGAATTCCTGGATTAGGGATTCCTTGGCTGAGGGGATTAAGACAGAGTCTTCTTATACAGACTCTGTCCAGGAGAACTGCTACACTTTCAAGTACCCTCTGTAGAGAATCCGCCACTTTAGGGTCACCCTGATGTCTTCTCTCTAGTATTGGCATTTCTGATCCTTCTTAACTTGGTCTGATGATGTGATTTAATAGCAAACACTATCACTAGAAAGACTTTTAAATGCATAAACCCTCCCAACCTATACCCTACTTTATTCCCCACGGGGGAAGAAGCCTCAACATTGCAATTAGCCTGGAAGAAATTGCAGCTCTTGAGCTTCAGGGAAGGGCCTGCTCTGAAATACGTGAACCTCCGGTAGTGCCATCCTATTTGGCCAAATCCCATCCCCTGCACACTTGCAGCTAGACCTGTAATTAGTCGGAGACATCAAGCAGTTCAGCGGTTATGCACAGAGGAGATTGGTCGTGTCGTTATTTACATGGGCCTCCCTGGCTGATCAGTCAGCAGTGTTCATTTCCTTGCATTTCCCTGTAAACTTTCAGAGCCACAGTTCAGCGCTGTGGGAGCTCAGAAATGGAACTCCCAATACCCTCCCTGCCACCCCCATCCACAACTTATATAGGAACAACGCTACGCCCCCTCTCATTTTCTTTTGGCATTTTGGGTTGGCACCTCAGGGTGATATACTCCAATGATGGGTGGACATTCTGAGCTGTCCTCAGCGAGTCTCTGACTGCCATGATGCCCTGCACATTATGATGCCAGTCATCCCTTGACTTGTTGCCAGGTAGAAGAGTGGCCCTGGACCCGTGTCCCCGTGCTCCAAAACACAACCCATGCTGAGAGAAAGGAAAGATGGGATGGGAAAGACATACGCAGACAGCATGACATTTAAAGAAAGACTAGGAAGTTAGGGAAAGCAATGAGCCCAGTATGAGTCAGCAGCGACAAGATCTTTATCTGCACAGATAGGAGGGCCATGTCTAGAAAAGGGGCATCGTACTTGCCACCCTGGGAGCTCTGCCTTCTCAGCAGGGCCACTCAGGAAAAGACACAGAGACAAACTCAGCATATTCAGGAGAAGAAAGGAATCAGGACGGGGCAGATGAGCTGCTGGCTGGCCGAAGTGGCTGCAGCCTTCTGTGCTGGGGACAGGGCCAGAGGTGCCGGGAACAGGGCCAGAGGTAGGGAGGAGAGCTAGGAGGCAGCTCAACCTGGCTCATCTTATCTGTGTGCCTGCCAGGCAGAGGGAGGACAGACAGGCACAGCCGGGCAGCCTCTGCCAGACTGGCCACCTCACTCACCTCGGCGGCGAAGTGCTTCCCGCTGACAGTGTGTTCGGAGCCGTAGGGGTCATTCTGGTCCCCCCAGTGCAGGTGTAGCTGCGTGGCACTGTAGCGGGATGGGAGGCCCTGGATGTGCATATCCGGGGCCAGGTTCAGCTTCACTGTGGGGAGTAGAGGGGTGGCCTTCAGAGCCCTGGCCAGCTGAGCGCTGCCACAGAGCAGTCAGGTAGGCAACCCCCGCCGCGGCCCAGGTGGGGGATGGGGGGACGCAGCCAGGTGCAGAGCAGAGAGAGGCAGCCTGAAGGTCAGAAACTTGGGCTCTTTCCCTGAGAATGCGCCCGTTTCCCTACAGCGACTCCAGTGGCACCAGCCCTTCTCGGTTCCCCTGGGAAAATGATGCCTGCAACACTAACACCGGACCAAGGGATGGATTTTTATTTACATTTCTGTGATAGAACCTTTAGTGAAATACCTTCCAAACTTTAGAATTATACAACAACAACCACAATAATAACTGCTGTTTATGAAGCATTTACTATACACCAGACCCCTGACACACATAATCCAGAGTCTTCACAGTACCTATCAGTAACTCCATTTTCCAGGTAGAAGCTCAGGGAGGGTAAAGTTCTTATCTAGAGTCTCACGGCTCATAAGTCTTCAAGCCAGGATTCAAATCCGGGTCTGTCTGACTCCAAAGCCTGGGCGCCCCCACCCCCACTGAAGTGCGTGGTCCCTTGAGTAGCTCATGACGGCCCGGAATCCACTTCGGCAGCACAGCCAACGGGCCACGGGGCTCAGGCCTGTCTCCTCCCCACTCCCGAGAGATATGCTGCCTCTGAGATGAGCTGCCCTGGCAGGACCACCCCCAGGGCCTCCAGCGTCCCCTGGAGAGAGTGGTCCAGGCCTCCCTCAAAGGCACCTGGGTGCCATGGTGGAGCCCCCTCCCTGCCAGATGGAAAGGGCAGGCTGGGGAGCCAAGGGAATCTCAGACCAGCCCCCCAGGCCTCTGAGGTCTCGCCCTCACCTGAGTGGCCATTGTTGGTCAGGAGAAACTGCTGGTTGGCAGACACATTGTAGCCTTGGAACTCCAGGGGTGTGAGGCTAGCATCGTACTGGAGGATGTCGCCGTGCAGGTCTATCGGGGACTGCAGCAGGCCTCCACAGGACGGGTACTTCTTGGACCAGTTCTTCTCTCCATCAGGACCTGGAAAGAGAGATTGAAGGTCAAGATTTAGTCAGTTTTCCACAAAGAGTTCTTCCTTACCTTCTAATTCTGTGTTCACCATAATTACTCCTTTTCTCCTCTTTTCTTAATCCCCAGAGGTAAATGTTCAAGGCCCAGAGATCTTGGCCTACAGAATCAGGTCCAGCAAACACCTTGAGACCACCTGCTCATAAGTGATGTGGGGGAAGAAGGACTAGAGCAGCCCCTGCCAGAGAGTGGAGCCCACCAGGCCTGCTTTATTTTGTGCCTTGTTCATGGTTGACACGGCACACGTCTTCTCCACGTGAGGACCTGTTGCCTTTGAACAATTTAGCATCTGCTTATTGAGCACCTGTTATGAGCCAGGAATTGCTCTGGCTCTGGAGCTGCCAGGTTGAACACAGCAGAGCCCCTGCCTACCCAAGCTGGCATCCTAGTAGGGAAGAATTTCATGAATCCGCTGGGCTGCCTCAGGTTGGAAAAACTCGTGTCTGACTGATCACAGCTCCAAGTGGGTCTTGAGGCTGGTGGGTTTAGAAGTACGATCCTTCTGATGGGAACCCCCTGAGGACATTGTCTCTTGACACCCATATCCAGGGTAAGTACAGAACCCAGCCCAATAGGGATACTTGAGAAATGTCAGATAATTACAGGCCTGGAATGACAGAGTGAAGTGTAGGGTGTAAGCTGGGGGAAAGTATGACAACACTATAAACTAATTATTACAACATAATTGACAAACCGTCAGTGAGGAAGAACAGATTTTTAAACAAGACTCCTCCAAGGCTCAAGCTCCTTGCTAACTACCAGCTAGCAGTCCCTCCTCTGGAAATGAAAATAAACAGCCAATGTTCAGATAAACTTTCCTACTCCCACGGGGAAAAGTCTTTAAAGAATGTAAATCTATGTTTAAAAGATTATCTCCCACAGTAATTAAACAGATTTTCAGGCTGAGGTTTCTGCAGAAAAGCAAATAATTGGCATGTCATGGCTCGTTGGGTAGAAGCAGGGTGCTCCATGGGCTCTGTCAGAGTCGAGAATCCAGCTGTGCATCTGGGGTCCATGCATACGGGTTTCAACACAAGAAGTGTGTTAACTGGAGCAAAGGGGAAGGAACACCACCTCTTCTGGGAACCCTTCCACAAACAACAGCACCGTTTCACAAGAGTGTAAGTGTTCACACTGGCCCCACAGAATCCCAAGCCTCTACACCTTGTTCTCTCCTAGGGGACCTCATCTGAGTGTGGGGAGAATCAGAAGTAATACTTGGTACCCACACTCATTTAAAATGCTACCAGGAGTCGGTTGCAGGCTTAGCTCCCCCAGGTCTGGACACACACAGCAGAACCTTACTAATTTTTCAGGCTGTCAACCTTTGGATATGCCTTTTCAGAAACATTAGAGCATGAAGGGATTTCGGAATCTCCAGTCCAACCTTTCATTGGACACTGGTTTTCCCACTTGTGCATGCCAGAGTCTCCACTGAGCTACACCGTTTTTATATTCAAGGCCTCAAAGACCTGGACTCAAAGCAGCAGAATGGTACCAACATGGTGGCTGGGAAATGGGGGCTGGAGGACACCAAAGCAGGTGCCCCAGGGGCCAACTGGAGTAAGGCAGTGAGTCAGCTGGCAGCAAAACCAAATTCTTTAGGGACAGCAGGGGCACAGTGAAGCAATCAGGAGGCCTCAAGTAAACCCCAAGGGTTAGGAAAAGCACAGCACAGAGTAGCAAGACTTCCCAAGTGAGGCCGCCAGCCTTTTCCATGCTCACACACTGCCTGCACCAACAGCCAGCCGGGTGGACACTCCCAGCCAGGCAGGAATGGGAAAACTCAGGGAGCAAAGAGATGTAGCGATGACATTTCTCCTTGCACACATGACTAAAGCAGATGGGGTGAGAAGGACGTTCTTTCCCTAGAGCAGAAGTTCAAAAAGGTTTCATCAAGAGGGCACTTCAGTGATAACTAAGCACGAGCTCCTTGAAGACAGGGGACCTTTCATTTTCATCTCTGTGAACCCATGTTGTGAGTGAGTAGGGTCACATGCATAATAGGCATTTAGAAAACATTTCCCAAAGCATGGAAGACCCAAAAGAGCAGAGATCTTGGGAAAAGGTTATCAGGGGAATTGTCCTTTTGGATTTTTCCCTACATATTCTTTATTGGAAGTTAGGGCCAAACTAGGTATTTGGGGGCAGGAAAGACTAAGAATACTAAAGGCAATAGAGTCAGTGCTGGCAAAACCTTTCTTGGGAAAAGCAGCAGCTATGTTGGAACAGGGGAGTCCAGAGGACGAGGTTCTAGCATCAGCTGTCCCACCACCTCTGTGAGTGACTAGAGGAGGTTGTGTTCCCTGCTGGAGCCTCCAATGCCCTTCATACAAATGGGAGGGTTGGGCACTATGTTCTGGAATGTTCCTCTGGCTCTTAAGCTCTGGAATGCAGTAAGAATACTAGGACTAACACCTTCACCCTCTGTATCAGCTGAGTTGGAACACATTGGAGAGGTTACTCACACCAGGCAGCTTCTGGGCATGTAATGCGGTGCCCAGTGGGAAGCAGCTTTGGGAATGAGGACACAGGGCATTGGCGCTCCTGGGGCTGGCTGGGGAGTGGTCAGCCATCTGCAGTGGGAACCTGCCTTGTCCTGAGCTGCCACCCACAGGGGAGCTCATCCTTGGGGACCAGTCACAGACCCTTCGGGCAGCAAGGTCTAAAAAAGCCTTTTCCCCTCCTCCTCCTGCTGCTCCATCATCATCATCACCATCTTTAAAGTGTAACTCTATGGGGTAAGGCAGGCCAAAATTGCCCCATTTTATAGATGAAAAATTGAGATTAAGTGATTTGCCCAAAGTTCAACTTTGGCTAAGTAACAGTTCCCTTGTTTGGGCCACGGGACCTCTGTGTCCTTCTGTTTCAGTATTTCTCTAAGAGATTTTGCACACCTGTTTCTCCCTCCCCTACAATCTCCCTGAAGACGAGGACGACGTGGCGTTCTCCCCTGCACGTCCCACAACGCCTGGCCCGGAGCAGGCCCTCACACGTCTGCGGGGCTGAACTCTCAACACCTGTTTCGTGCTTGTTCCTTTCCAGGGAAATGAGCACCTTAATCTCCTCATATGCTTTTTTTCCCCTCAAAAAGGAGGAGGAACATGGGGTCACTTGCTCAGGTGCGAAATGTACCCTCCTAGCTTTCTGGTTCACCTGTGTGAGATGGGTTCTGCTTGGGACCACTTGTTGAAAAAGAAATCTGGTTTCTGCCCTGCAGCCTGGAGATGGTCTGCCAAGGATGTGGCTTCGCAGATGCTCATAGGGTCCTCCCCCAGCACGTGACGGCTGGTGTCCCGTTCTTGCACAGCTGGGGACACTGAGCAGCTTCCTTTGTGACGTGTGAGAGATAGACGGGCCACAACCAGTGTCAGGGGTGACAGTGATGGGCTCTTTTCTGTTCCCGAAGCCTCCGTCCGGGTGGGGTGTGGCTTGTGGCCACATGGCACTGGCCTGATGCTGGCTGCTACACCTGCTGCAATTTTCAACTCATTCTCAGCTTTCACACTCACGCCAAGTGCTCTGCTGCCAGAAAACCCCTGCTGGGAGCTACTTTTCCTGAAGAAGCATTTACTTCCAGGTCCCGCACGAATTTGCCTTTGCTCTTCTAGGTTTTAACTTCTCTTCTTTAGGTGGCTGGATTCCTTCCATGCTGGTGATGGAGAGATCACGTGTCTCTCATGGTTTGTTTTTCCAAACGAAATTAAGGCATTAGTTCTTTCCAGTCCATGAATTTTCTTGCTCTAGGCAAAACAGAAGTGGGCAGAATTCCTGTTTTGAAATGTAACAAGAGATTATTGTTGCCAAGCTCAAAATGTCTCTCGTGATTTCTGATTGGGAATGATGAGGCCCGGGGTGGAGGACCTGCATTATCCAAGGGCCAGAATTTTTTAAGGAAAATTTCAAACATATGCCACAGTACAGAGAGGGGCAAAATGAACCCCACATCACTCAGTTTTGACAGTTCGTGATTCAGAGCCAGTCCTGCTTCATGTAGACCATGCCCACTCTCCCCCCATCTACCTGGAAAACTTGGAAACAAACCCAGATACATTCTAACTGTACTCATTTCAGTATATATCTAAAACATAAGGACTCTTCAAACCACAAAACAATTATCACACCTAAAAAGTTAACAATTAATACCTTAATATTATCAAATCCAGTTAGAATTCCATTTTTTTCAAATATGTCATAACTTTTTAATGGTTTGTTTGTAAGATTCAGGATTCAAATAAGGTCCACATACTATAATTAGTTGGTATGTGTGGCCTAGGTTACAGTTTGATGGTGGGATGCCTCATCAGAGAACAACTGGGCCCTACTCCTCCAGGCTCAAAATCTCACAGCCAGGGACAGGCGCGGTGGCTCACGCCTGTAATCCCAGCACTCTGGGAGGCTGAGGCGGGCGGATCGTTTGAGCTCAGGAGTTCGAGACCAGCCTGAGCAAGAGTGAGACCTCCGTCTCTACTAAAAATAGAAAGAAATTGGCTGGACAACTAAAAATATATAGAAAAAATTAGCTGGGCACGGTGGCGCATGCCTGTAGTCCCAGCTACTTGGGAGGCTGAGGCAGAAGGATCGCTTGAACCCAGGAGTTTGAGGTTGCTGTGAGCTAAGCTGATGCCACGGCACTCTAGCCCAGGCAACAGAGTGAGACTCTGTCTCAAAAAAAAAAAAAAAAAAATCTCACAGCCAGGCTAGCTCCGCCCATCCTTTGCCCTCAGTGGCTCATGGAGTCCCAAGTTCCCATCACCACCACCACCTCCACCCTGGGTTAGGCCCTTGACATGTCACACTGCAAAGACTCCCCGCAGGCAACCAGCCTCAGCTTTCTTGTCACACTGCCAGGCTGGCTCTCCTGTTGTAACCAGATCAGTCTCCCAGTAGCCTGGCTTGGTTGGAGCCACCCCACCACCTACCCGTACACTCCCTTCTTCCCCGACATGCCC